TAATTGATCACAAAGTTAAACAAGGTCAGCAAGCTTTTCTAAAGCTGAGCTCACTGTTTACTTTAAAGATGAGTGTTAATATTAATTACCATTTCCGAATGGATAGCAGTGTAACAAAAGAACAATTTTTGGTTATGGTGGTGGACTAATTGCAAATGTAGACTGAAAAATAAATACATTTGGAGAGCAAAGGCGTCCACATTGAGCTACTTGTTCACCATTTATTCATTTAGAAATTTTACGTCACTTGGACACAAAACGGCTCCCACCAAAGAACTGCTGTTTCGACATGCTCTGTGTTAATCATCTACAAATCACAACTTATTCATCAAAGACACAGATTCTTTCTATTGCTATTTTTTCCTGCTTCCAGCTAGTGCAACTAGCTGAATTAATGTTTAATGTTTTCGCTCTTGAAAGTCACCACCAGAAATACCTCGTGACCCAAAGATTATGACACAGCCTCTGTGAGAAAGTTGTAAAACAAGTGCGGACTAAGATGTAAGGAAAGAGAGCTATTGGTGCTAGCAGTGCTAGTCACAACATGATAACTACTATGATGAATGTGCTGCATATTTTGGCAGCATTTAAAACAGTATGTACAACTGGCAGACAGAGGAAGTGGCTGACATCCAGAAAGACAGCACAGAGGCACTAATAATGGCAGCACAGAAACAAGCTCTGAGTACAAGGTCCATAGAGGCTGGGGTCCATCACACCAGACCCCAAGTGCAGGCTATGTAAAGATGTCCCTTGAGACAATCCAGCACATAAGAGGAGGATACAAGATGCTAGCAGGAAGGGCATACATGGAACGCCACAACCAAGTGGCCGTCATAGTATACAGAAACATCACCCATACTGCATGTTTTATGTAAAACTGGGGTGAGCTCACTTATAACTATGTTATAAATAATTTCAACGGAATCCATCAATTCCTGACTTGTTATCAGGAATTGTTTATCTTCATTTATTTAAACTTTATCTTCCATTTTTGCGATCCACATGTAGTTATGACCAAAATTTGGCCTCATCTGAGTTAAAACTTTAGTAAATTAAACCTAACATATTTTCAATCAGAGCCCTAGAGATTTTTCTTTTGGGAGAAGGTTATAACCTCTTTGGTGGTCCTTAAAAATGTAATATGCAGGAAGAAAAACCTGGCTATATATGTCTATATAACTATTACGTCAACTTGCTCTGAAAGATCATGATGGTCTGGGTCTTTACCATTAGGCTGCTCTTTAGAGGCCTGGATGAGGTACTCTTTGGCTGTCTCGGCATCTCCCATCTCCAGAGTGGCTACTCCGGCCCTGTACAGCGCTTTGGCATTGCCTGGTCGCCACTTTAGCACTCGCAGACTGTACTCCTGCACACGAGTATAATCAACAGTCTTTCTCTGCAGCAAACAGGCTGGAAGAGATATAAAGAAATGATTATACTGAGGCACTTGTATCAAACTAGTGACTAGAGAGCAGTTTTTCAAAGAGTTACTACTTCAACAGCTTTGAAAGAATATGACATTATCTCAGAATGATATTTACCTACCAGCAAGGTTGTTGTAGCAGTCCACTTGAGTATTTCTCAATAAAGCCTCCTGTTCAGGTGTGAGCACAGGTGTCTCAGGCCCAAACCCTTTCACTGATGTCGTCACATCTGAGTCAATGCTTCGCAGGAGCAGAAGAGCGCGGTGATAACGACCAATGGCTGAGCGAATGTTCTTGTCCTTGTAGAAAGCATTGCCTTCTGTTTTCAGCTGGGCTGCTTCCTCTAGCAAAGCTGAAACCGGCTTAGCAGAATTTGGTTTGTGTCCAAAGAGGCTCGGTGCTGCTGCCGCCGCCGCCCCCTGTACATCTAGGCTAGCCTCCCCACCAGCACCCTCCATGTCTGCAGTGAAGCTAATCAGCTGTTGGGGTGAGAAAGCACATTTTAGTTTATTCTTAAACAGAAAGCCTAAAACATAAAGTGGTGAGATGTAGAGAAAAAGATGTAAGGACTTATGAAACATACAGGTTCAGGCCACTATATTAGGTACACCTGTTCATTAACTGCTCATTAATTAAAACCAAAAATCTAATCTGCTAATCAAAATCAATATAAATGAATACTTTTTTTCTCCAAGTGTAGGGCTGAATTGAAATTGAAAAACTTAGTTATGTGAAATAAAGTTTAACACTTTTTCTTACAGTGGTATTTATCAAATAAACGTTTCAAAAGCGCTTACATACATAATCACTCACTGGCCACCTTGTTAGGTGCACAGGGTCCACTGCTTGTATACTACAAACATGTGATCAGCCAATCACAAGGCAAGAATAGAGTCAAGACAACAACATGAAAACATGGAGCCCACCCTTGTATCAATAGTTTAGGCTGCTGGTGGTGGTGGTGGTTTAATAATGTGGAGGTACATTTTCAGTTTGAGGGGTATTGAAGGGTACAGTTTGTGCCCCTTATTACCAACCGAGCACTGTTTACACGCAACAGTCCACCTGAGCCTGATCGACATTAATAAGGCTCGACACCACCTGTTCCAGTGTAAAAAGATGCTCTACGTATAATAGTAGAAAACACTTAGGTGTAAGAAAACGGTTTGTCACACCTCTGCTACTTCACTCCTTCACTTGTAATACCTCACATATGACCTGGCAGTCACACAGTGAGCCACACTGCTTTTAATAAGAAGGTAGACAAACCGCAAGAGCAGTAGTAGTTTTTGGCCATTTCACCATATTTAATATGACAAACGGCAAATCTACAGCTTTTTATTTGAAGTATTGGTACATGCCAACGTTACATTATTTTACGAATCAAATAGAAAGCACGTCACTCAGGTCCAAACGTAAACCGACGTTTTGCGGCAAAACGTCCAGGGTTTGTAGCTACCGCTAACCGAGCTAGCAGGCTGCCAAGCTAGCCCGGGTCCTCGAAAACTAGCTAACTCACTATTTCCCGTATGTTCGCGCATTTTATGAGGTTCGCTACATGAAAACTGTATTGTTATGCATTCTCTCGCCTTACGCTAGTGAAGCGACAATCCACGGATAGCTACTTTTCAGCTGGTAGTCATCTTAGTTGTTGCCACACGTGCGCTTCCTTGCTTGCCTTTCTATGGACTCGCCCACAAACTGTGTGGAGTGCTACTGCCACCATAAGGTCGAAGCAGGAATTGCCAGCAAATTAACACAAAATACACCCTCTTTGTTTTTATTAAATATAATTTTGAAAGTAATCCATGCACAAAATACTAAAACAAACTTTTTTGGTGTAAATTACACTTATTCTGGAACAAAATGTAAACGCAGTTACTGAAAAAGTTGTTCCAAAACATTATTTAATTAAAATACTAAATAGCACTTGGGAAACCTCTAGAATGCTATATAATCAAATGTTTTTATAAGCTCACAATTGCCTCTGTAATAGTTTGTATTATTAAACGAACAGGCTATATGAACAAAGACTTTAAAATACAGAAGTTACTAAAAAATGTGTGAATATTAAAAGTTGAAAGTTAGATTTCACAATTTGCTTAAATCACGTATAAATTAAGTTTGAAATTAAGTCTGAAACACAATGAATATTCAGTATGAACGTGACCACCTTTAACTTCACAGCAATTAATTTATTAAACAATGTTTTTAAAATCTACTTTTCCGGTTCCAGAGTCCTGATAACAGAGCTATGCCAAGCATCCCACACAGCAAGTAAAATAGCTCATGAAAAATTTACATTTGATACTAGAAATTGATTAATTGATTAATTGATAAATATAATTATCTGATCTTTGTTTTGTTTTTTTACAATTTCAAAATCTTTCATAATTGTATAATGACTCATTGATAAAACTGCAAATGCCCTAATATAATTATTCTGATTTAAAAAAAAAAGAAGAAAGAAAACAAAACACATTTATCACAAAGCAACTGTAAAATTTTAGAAATACTTTTAAACTGTTCTAAGATGTAAAGTGCAGTTCACACCAACAAACCTCTATATCAATCTGAAAACACAACACAATAGACACAAGCTCAATAATACAAAATGACATAAAAAAAAAAGCAGCAAATCATTTAAACCTCTTTATTTAAACCTTTGTTTTTTTTTTTAAGACACCATTTCAAATTGACATAGAAATGTTAGAAATAGAAATGTTTAAAAAAAAAAAAACAATGCTGGTTTCAAATTTAATGACAGCAACATGTTTAAAAATGACTGAGAATGCAGAGGTGCAATGACACAAGTAAAAACGTTAATAAAGTAAGTGACCTTTTATTTATGTAGCACCATTAAAGATAAATATCACAAAGTGTTTCACAACAAAATGCTAAACACAAAAACAAAAAGCTAGTTTAAAAAGATGAAGTTTTAGCTGATTTAAAAAAAAAAACACACACAAAAAAAACCAAACCCACAGATCTGAGTGTCAGTGGGAGAGAGCGCTCAATTCTGGGGGCCACTGCTGCAAATGCTCAGTCTTAGTTCTCAGCACTGTGTGATGCAATGTGCAATATGTAATTTTCCACTTGTAAGCCAGTTTTCAAAGAGGTGTGCCTTCAGCCTCATGGACACAGCGGCCTGTAGTATTGTTGAAATCCAGCCCTCTGTTTGGCAGAAGTCCACTTTTATTGGTATGAAGGATAAAAAGTTTACACACTTTTATGGATGACAACATTTTGTGAGAAACTTTATATGGATCACGCTGAGCAGAGAAATAAAGTAAGCGAGTACCTGTCGCTGCCACTGCTTCCTTGCAGAGGTTTCAGTCTTCATTAACGGGTTTGCAGTTTGATTTGGAAAACGAAAATTCCTTTAAATTGAGCATTTCAAAAATGACTGCTGACAGTGCTTTGCAGCTACTACAAGCCAATGTTTTTAATTTTCATTGTACTAAAACTAGCAAACAAATTTAGACAGTTTTTACAACAAAAGATACATAAAACTAATCTTTATGCTGTTTTTTAAAATGAAAGTAACAACAGATGCAGCCCCTAAAAAAGAAAACAATGTTGCAGGGGGTGACCGCAGACACCTTTTGATCCCCTCTTGATGTATTTTTTCTCCAGTTTAAGTGGTGTTAGCAGTACTTTTAGTATGAGTCAGTACCTGCAGCCCATCCAGGTTCCACAGGTAGTGCATCTCCTTCAGGAGCTGTGAAGGTTTCACAATTGCATTTGGCAATTACTCCACAATGCCATAAAAGAGCCCATTTTAAAAAACAGAAATAACAGGAGCTACACCAGGATGCTACGGCTAGCTGTCCTCTGTCCCAAATCAGGTCATCTAACATTAAGGAGAATGAGGGAGATGTTCTATCGCTTATTAAAAAGTCATAGGTTCTCAGAGCAATGTGACCAGCTTGGGTGGATAATAAAAATATAGCATCCTTTAACATTTTATATGGGCTTGCCAGCAAGTCCATACAAGTCTTGTTATGAAGTCTTGTATGAATCTAGGCGTTACCTTACTACTAAGAAATGGTATTCACAGTGTCAGATAAGGGGAAGCTCTGTTGCCAGCGTGTTATAGATACATTAAAACATTCCACTTCTCATTATAATCTTTGTCATATATTTTTTCCTGTAAATATAAATCCAAAAATCTATTAAAATGAAATCTATTGGTGAGTACCCATAGAATGAAGCATTTTTCCTTTCTTTTATTTAAATTGTACATGCCCTAACGTTTTTAGGGGGAAACAGGTTTATGAACAAATATGTTGTCCTCTAAATTCAAAGAAGTTCCAGTTGCTATGTGGGTAGTAAGACTATTAAAGATGGAAGCACTAAATGAAAAATTCAAGCACCTAGCCATGCAGTCTGTCTTTACAAACATTTGTGAACAAATCTGTAGCTCTAAAGAGCTCACTGGATTTCAGGCTGAAGTGCAGCCTTACCTGATATACACCCTACTGTTACTCATTTTATATTATAATTCAAAAATCTAGTTGGTATTGGTATGGCGAGTAGCCTTCAATAATAGTAGCCTAATAAATCACACAGCAATAGTACATTCACGTAGTTGTAAAAAGCATGATAATAAATTACTTAATCCAAAGTATTCAGAATACGTTACTTTTGTTGAGTAACATAACAGAATACGTTACAAAATACATTTTGGGGCATGTATTCTGTAATGGAATACATTTTAAAAGTAACCTTCCCAACACTGAATATAGGCATGAGGATACGAAATGCAAAAGGAATGCTGGATATGCTATATATTGGCTACAACACTGGTGGTGGTGTGGCTTGTGCATGGGTGGGAAACAACACAAAGATTTCATTGGACCATCATTCATTTCAAAGTGATAAAACTACATGAGTGATGTTGCAAACAACCAAGCCTGTACTTGCACCTGGAATCTTTCATCCAGTTCCAAGTACTAGTGCAGTCTCAAAGTTTGTTACTTTGAGACGGAACTAGTATGCGTTTACTGTTGCTAAACTTAATATATACAAACAAATTAAAAGTAATATTCAACATTATTTGATAACTATATGAAAATAATGAGTGTTCACATAAGAAATTCAGCTATTACTGATGTTACAGCATGCAAACAACATACAGAAATCCCAGCTGGCGAATTTAAACCTAGGACGTGTAGCAAACATATTGCAACATGAAAATGAAAGATTTTTAATTGTAACCATTTATTAATGTATACCATCAGGATCAGCTGAGTGCTTGAATGCCAGTCAACCAATTATTCATTATGTGTGTGTGTGTGTGTGTGTGTGTGTGTGTGTGTGTGTATGTATATATATTTATTTTGTTTTTACTCTTGACTCAGATATAAACACAGGACACGGAGTACAGAGTACTGTGACTTGCTTTTTGGTTTAAGTATGCTTCCTGTCTGAGTTCTGTTCTTGTTTTACTTTGAATTTTCAGGTATTTCATGGTCCTGGGTTCTCTAACCCAATGTTTTTCATTTGTGGACTTTCTATATTTACTTATTATTCCTTCACGTCTTAGTTTGCTTTTTACATGTTATTCTTAAGTTTTTGTTTCATGACTTCTGTTGGATGAGTTTTATTACAACTTTTGTGGAGCAATTGGAGTTGAATTGGTTTTGCGATCTGCAATTACTTTTTAGTTTTCAATGAGCAGGAATTAAAGGCTTGCCATTTTTCTACAATTGTGTCATGTGTTCTGAATATTGGCTATACAGCTTTATGTATGAGACTCCCTGAGCCTAGTTCTGCTGGCGGCTTCCTCTTTTTAAAAGGGAGTTTTTCCTTCCCACTGTTGCCAAGTGCTTGAATAAGAATTGTGTGATTGTAGGGTCTTTACCTTACAATGAGAACCTATATAAATACTAGTGTTACGGATTCAAATATTGAGGATGGATACAGGAGGAAAACCAAAAATAACCACACTGGTCCGGCCGGGTCAAGTCAAACGATGATTTAATGAACACACGCGTGGGAGATGGACACCATACAGCAGACAGCATCAGATCTCAAAATGGTGGAGCCTTGATCAAACTCTTATAGCCTCTAGTGGCCC